TTGTAAATGGTTTGGTTTCCTTGTTGTTTCACGCTGCACTCAGCAATATGCAAGCTATATGAAAGCGATATGTAAATGATCGAGTCTGGACCAGACAATCCAGTGATGACCAGCATGAGCATCGATCGACGCAGCTGGGATAGTATGACATGTATCAACCAAGTCAGCGAGCCTGGCCCTTCGACAACTATGGGTTCCTGAAGAGTAATCAAATATAGAAATACTTAAGTCTTATGCTTCTTTTCGATAATGAAGGACATTGATTCATGATGTAGTCCTAGGGCTGTTCCAGAAAATATGACTTCCGTTGCACCCCTGCTCCAACATAGGTATCTTGACATTTTTATAATATTTAGTGTGTAAGTATATGATTTTAAAACATTAACCAAAAATAAAAGTGTCCGTTCTGTTAAGAAAATCAAGTTTTATTATCGAAGATACAGTAAAAATCACCAATTGACGAAAAAACATATGATGTGTCATATGTAAATCAATTTGCTAAAAGTCTACTCAGAAATTAGCAGAAACCGGCCAAATTAACATTGTAACATGATGATATCATTTACAGAGATGTTTAAAGTTAAATATCTGCCAAAAAGCTTTATTCTTCACAAATGTCTTCTGTTTTTTACTGCAATTTGCTCATGATTCGTATTTTTGTTTTATGCGATCAAATATGTGTGTTTGCAAGTTATACCATATGCATATCAACATTTTCGTATGTTCAAGGACTATTATGTTATATAAGAATATGGTGTCTGCAGCTGATTTCTATCTGTGAATATCCGTAAAGGTCCGGTTAGAATATTGATCTTCAGTAACCCATGCTTGTCGTAAGAGGCGACTAACGGGATCGGGTGGTCAGGCTCGCTAACTTGGTTGACACATGTCATCGGTTCCAATTGCACAGATAGATGCTCATGTTGATGAACACTGGATTGTCAGGTCCAGACTCTATTATTTACAGACCGCCGCCATATAGCTGGAATATTGCTGCGTGCGGCGTAAAACTAACCTCACTCACTAATGACAGCAAAAGTTGTATGCAAAACAGTTTAGTGCAAGATGATACCCAGTCAAAATCCGAGTCATCTTCAGATAATAAGTTGTGTTCATCCATATCTGTAGTTGTGTTTGTCCGATTCTGACATTCGTTGATATTGCAGTGACAGGCACCGGTGCACCATAGTTGATTGACCCTGCACGTGCAACGAATACTGTCGCAATTCTGTCATTTACAGCTAACACAGTCAAGCTCAGCTGCTTGGGTGTCCATCCAGTGCACTATAATGTCTCCATCAATCCTCCAGCCTGTCCAATGTGGATAAACCACTTTTGGTTTTGCTTCTAAACAATGCCGCCCAATAACTGCGGGGAAATTGAGTAGGATGTCGAAAGCTTCAAGTCAAGTCAGCAGTAAGACGTGAGTGAGTGTGTGAGTTAAGATCTAACGTCACATCGGCAATATCTCAGCCATATCGTGAAGAAGTAAGCCGTGACATGAACCATTCCATGTCTGTGCTGTATGCACGTTCTCGTTCTTCTGCAGTTCTGTAAGCTAACAGTTCTACTGCCCCTGAATTCGTTCAGGTCCATCACGTTTGTTGCTCTTCAGTCAACTGGTCGACAATTGGCTGCACTGATCTTCTGCGAGTTGGAGCAGTGTCTGCCTCTTTTTGTAGGAGAGCACAAGTTGATACTCTAGGCTGTATAACAATTCCAGTGGTGCAATGAGTTGTGTTCTTGCCAGAGGGAGTCTCTTCCTGGAAGTCATTGTTATACCCACACTAAGCATACTGGAACATTTGAAGATATGTTTGTCGGCACCACTGCAGCCTTTTGGTTTTGTGGGCGCATTTCTGCTAGAGCGCTTTCAACTTCTTGGGAGCTTTGATTTTGAAATACAATGTCCGAAGCAGTTTAATTTAGACACTAGTTCCATACTTCGTGTGATGCATAGATGATGCACTGAAGCAGCCAATGTTACATGCTTTGGAGTACGTACTCTACCTTTACGGCTGCAATACACTATGTCTTGTGCAATTGCAAGAATTTGCCCCTCTACTGACCGATGTTCCATATTCAATGTTTCGTTTTTATCATCTACGATTCCAACAATAATCCATGCCAAAAGATTGAAATAGAATCACGGGAACCACGCTGCTTAGTGACTCCTCTGAAATGTCGTGCGGTGATGGTGGCCAAGGCATGTCTGTCACTGTTTGTACGTCATGGTGAACCATCTGTGATACTAAGCATTCCTGACGCACTTGTTCGGCTTTCTCATCAAGATGTAGTCCAACGTAACATATGTTATATTTGGGATTACACTTTCATAGTTAAGTACAGATTCTAGTACTTTTTTGGGTTGAGTCCCATCCGGGATTCGAACCCACACCTTCAGAGTCAGGCACCTAATCGCCAGCACACAAAGTCAGACGCCTAAACCGCTCAGCCACCGCGGCTTCCACCTTTTGAATTTCATTTGAAAGACGTTTGAATGCCTCATCATAGGCATTGTCTGTGGATGTGTTTTCTTGGACAAAGGTAAGACGTTGACTGTGGGTATACGAACTACGATATGATCAAGTACATCACCAGCAATACTATCGGTTCCGTTAACCGTTCCAATGTGGATAACCACTGTTGGTTTTGCTTCTAAACAATGCCGCCCAATAACTGCAGGGAAATTGAGTAGGATGTCGAAAGCTTCAAGTCAAGTCAGCAGTAAGCCGTGAGTGAGTGAGTGAGTTAAGATTTAACGTCACATCGGCAATATCTCAGCCATATAATATTATTATATTATTATATATAATACATTATATTATTAATCATGTAAATACTAAAATGAAGCTACTGACATCATCACTGACAGATTTGGTTGGAGATGTTTAGTTGTATATCTCTAACTGTGATGCTCTCTTTGTCCGTTGACGACAGCTTTGATAATAGACCATTATAAATTATTTAAGTAGGATCTGTTTTAATCACGATATGGCTGAAATATTGACGATGTGACTGTAAACCCTAACTCACTCACTCACTCACTCAGCCACCAACCACCCACCCACCCACTCACTCACTCACTCACTCACTCACTCACTCACTCACTCACTCACTCACTCACTCACTCACTCACTCACTCACTGAATCCTCACTCACTCACCTCTCTCTCTCTCTCTCTCTCTCCTCACTCACTCACTCCTCACTCACTCACTCACTCACTCACTCACTCACTCACTCACTCACTCACTGCAAAGTATTCATCACCATCCGCCACGACCCTTCCTTTCGTCAAGATCTACCTTCAGTGGTTGGCGATCTATAGCCCATTTTTACATTGTATTGTCCAAAAATAGTTTTGTACTTTTAAAGATATATGCTAGCTAGTTTAACTCAATCTGTGATAATCTAGTGGTTTGACTGTCCTTTGCTGACAGGGTTTTATATATTATATGTATGTATTATGAATTTAGAAGTAGTCACGATATGGCTGAAATATTGCCGATGTGACTTTAAATCTTAACTCACTCACTCACTCCTTTCGTCAAAGATCCAATCTTTATGTTGGCATGTTGATGGTAGACATGACTACAAAACGTCGAAAGCCAATTACAAAGAGGATTCAGCCACCTTTCTGAGCCTTTGTGATGAAATATTCATCATCAGCTTCTAGTGAGTGAATGAGTTTAGATTTTTAGGCCGCTTTTAGCAATATTCCATCCATACAACGGCGGCAGCAGCTTCTAGACCCCAAATGATAAATTTGTTTCCTTTTATGAATAGGTACAAATGTGATCCGGCATGTAAAATCATATACCCTTTGTTTGTAGCTATTACATGTACATGCACTTGGTGCGTTAAAATCGTCGGTATCAATGTTAAAATCATGATAAACTTACCGATACACATCAGATTACTCGAATATATAACGTTAACATTGCCGTATATCAGTTTTCATATCTAATTTGTCTAACCTAGCGAACTTCTACGCTGATACCTGTTTCGAAGTCAGTGTCGGGAGGGTATTGCACATCCCAGTGTGTAATTATTTTTTGTACAACATTAACATATATGTCTGAAAATTCGCTGACGGAGATGACAGAAGAGGAATTTTATAGATCAGTATTTCCAAATTCAGAGCTGTGATACATTTGATCTCTGCTGTATTGCCAAACAACAACAACAGTTCAAACAATCCCCATATTTATTCTTGGGAACATGTCAAATAATACACAAAAATAAATCGGAACAGATACCACATTGCATATTATGAAGTGTGTGTAGAACTGATGTAAAATTCCAGAGGTTGTGTGAGCTGCTGCGCAACAGAGACTCAGTTCACTGTAGACATGTCACTCTTTAGCGGAGATCAAGATCTGCATTGTCATACTTTAATGAACATTTGTTGTGTTCTGAAGTCCGTTATTAATAGGGGAAGATCACAAGACCAATCGATCTGGCAGCAGATGTTGAATACATATTTCGTAGAAGACGCCGAGCAGGAATGTCATTACGCCGGGACTCTGGATATCTGCTCTTTAGAGATATTAAATACCAATGAAGTAATCGTGTCTCTTGACATCAAGGATAGAATCAGAAAGAGGGTGTTTGGTACGATATTTCTAAGGTGGAAATGCTTCACGACGACCATTATATAATCGGTTCCGTCCCAATCCAAGCCTGTCTTGGTTCAATCTAATTACAAGACTGCCTGACCCATACTCGACAATCTTCAAACCGTTAAAAAATATTGTAATAGTGCTGAGAGCGACGTTTCGCAAGAAACATTCAAACAAATTCAATTCAAGTTTGACAGTTCAACTGAGTTGGAAGACGGAGTGAAGTATCTCGTGAGTATTCCTGCAGCCAAACTGTCATTGTAGATATTCACCATTGTCACCATGCGCATCCTACGGAAATAGAAATTATATATATATGATATGATATATGCTTTAAATAGGTTACACATCATACTTGAAAGGTAACCATTGTCGTACTCACATGAACCAATCCACAGCCAGTACGATGTAAGCATCTTCGACCGGCAAACCCACGGCAGCAACCACAACCAACATGGTGATGAAACCCGTCCCAGGGACTCCTGCAGCACCGATACTTGACAGAGTTGCAGACAGGCTGGGGAGATATGGTCGAGAGAAATATAAGGTTTAGGTTTTGAAGAAATACATAACATCGTCAATGGCCACAATGGATGATGAGCCATCACTAAACCCGATCCGATCAATATGCCAAAGTGATTGGTAGATTATGAAACAGGAACAGCGAACCAAAATTGGTGATGATTGAACCCACTCAGGACCTCCCAGATCACCGACGAGAGCATAAAATCATGATAGGATTTACGGGTCATCGCCTGCAAGCATATCCTGACCATGCATGCTTATTGCCGGCCCTTAGAGATCGTTACATTAGCAGCAAATCAAATAGTTAACACAATGTCAAATCATGGCCAATGCTGGTGTTGGTTGACGTTATTTTGGAGCGTATTACGTCAAAGCTCGTCTCATGAAACAATTAGCCCCGACGTTTTATTCTGTGAACATGTCTGGAGAATAATAGAGGGGAACGTGCATTAACGTTAAACGGTGTTTGCTGAAATTGGTCAGGAGCCGCAGGAAAATTGAGACAAAATCCCTAAAATCGCCATGCTGAATGGACGAATGCTTCCCATTTTACCCCGCCCCATATACAGATATTTGGTGGTTATACTGTCATACTTCCTTACAGGTTGTAACGTGTTCCGTATAGGGGAATTAATATTGTAAAACCTGTTTTACAATGTGGGACGTTTTCTGTATTTCCGTCAATCACCTTCTTTTAGAAGAGTACATGCTAATGGTAGAAATAAAGGTTGAACGCCAACTGCAGAACTGGACGATAATTATAAAGGGTAAATATTTTTATTCCTGACCATTCCAATTGTAATCGCAACTGATGATTTATGTGAAACACTTTCATTATGACAAAGCTACTATACAAATATAGTATCAAAAGACTTTGATAGATATACAACAGTTCACTGTAATTTAATATCAGTGTGATCCACGGGTATTAGGAAGAACCTTAGCTTGAAATCTCGTTAATGTTTGATATTATATGATATTGGATGTCGACCATCAGGGTTTGGTTTTACCTGATAGCGACTAAATCTGCAAATGTGAGTATCCTGTGGTTCATCTGGGCCAGGAAGATCGGTGTCAGAGCCTGAATTATAGCCAAACCATCCATATTGATTGTTGCGCCTATAGGCAACACAAAGCGACAGATGGTTTTGTTGAATTTCATCTTCTCTTCACAGAGGCGTAAGGTAACAGGAAGGGCTGCTGCGCTAAAACAGAATATCATGGCACTGAGTCAGGACTAGCATGTCGCTGGACCTCATGTCCCCGATTCAATATCGCAGGACAGTTATGTCATCAGTACGTGCATGAAACAAACACATAACACCATTTCTCAAGGAGAAACTGCAGATCGACCCAATAACAACATTCGGCGTACAGTTTTCCCAAAAGTTATTGAGAAAATCTTTGTTTCCTAATACTGATAATATAATTTAAAATAAGTGGTACATTATGTAGTAAGGCACTCAATACGGGAGGCAACTCTTGCAGGCTTCAGAATGAACCTTACTACATCAAGAGTTATCTCCCCTGGTGTAGCAGATGGCTTCCTTTGTTGACATGGCGGATTTGACTGCAGAAGAGAAAAGAAAGCTGATTCTAGATGATTTTGAAAGGGGTGTGAATAATTCAAAAGAGTTACCTGGTAGACATGACATGCCTCTGTCTACAGTATACATAACTTTGAAGAATATTCAGTCAGGATTTGGGATTGAGAACAAGAGGGAGGCCACGAATGTTCAATACTACGGATCGCCGGCGACTTAGTCAGACTGTGGGTACGGAAACAAATTAAAAACGTTGAGAATATCAGAAATGACATGATTGACAGAGGAAGTCCTCAGGTATGTAATGAAACCATTAGACAAGATTTACAAAGACTTAACTGGGTGAAAAAGCGCGGAATTCCCTCACCATTGATTAAAGATGCACAAAAAGAAAGACGTTTAAACTGTAAATCAAGATTGATATAATGTTTTATTTGCTGATTAGTGTTCTGTCTGCCTTTTTCCGAACTGTGTGAAAATTTGGACAAAATATACCGTGAAGCCTATCTACCAACGCAGGGATTCCATCACTTGGAGTGACGCCGATGTGTATTTTCACTGGACATTTGACGAAGGAACGACATGTTGACATCTTAAATGGTAGACATGGCATTCCTCAGTCTACAGTACACAGGAGTTGGGGTTGAGCACAAGACACGGGCAGGGAGGCCCAGGAAATTTAGAAACCCTGATCGCCGGCGACTTGGTCAGATTTTGAGTAGGAGAAAATAGAAAAGCGCTGAGAATATCAGAATGAGATCATTAATACAGGAAGTCATCATGTATGTACTGAAACCCATAAACAAGAATTACAAAGACTTAATTTGGTGAAAAAGCGCGGAATTCTCTCACCATTGACGAAAGATGCACAAAACGAAATACGTTTGACCTGGTGTTGGGCTCACGAAAATCAAGATTTGGATAATGTTTTCTTTTTCTGATGAAAGTTTTGTCTGGCCTTCTTTCCGAACTGTGTGGAAATTTGGACAAATGATACCGTGAAACCTATCTACCAACGCCCAAAACATAGCCCGAAATTTCATATGTGGCTGGGATATCATCACGCGCAGTGACGCCGTTTTGTATTTTCACTGGACATTCGATGAAGGAACGAGGTGTTGACATCTTAAATGGTCACCTACTTCCAATGGCCCGAACACTGTATGAAGATATTTTCCACGACCCAAAGCACACTGCGGATTACACAAAACAGTTTTAGACTGGCCCACCTACACCCCAGATCTTAACCCTACTGAGAATGTGTGGGGACTAATGAAGGACAGAATAAACCAAAAGGACTTAGAAATGCTTAAGCTATGAGGAATGAAGTTGTCGAATATTGGGATACGCTGTCACACGATTTCCTACAAACTTAGATCGATAGTGTACGTAGGTGCATTCAGTCGGGCATTGCTTGAGCAAGGTCCCACAAAGTACTGAAACGACACTTAGAGTGTAAGAGCATCATATCTCAACATATTCATTTAACCAAACTTCTATGGTTTATATGCATGTATTATTTATTTGAAGAAACAAGTTTCTCAATAATTTCTGAGAATACTGTATCAGTGGGCTAGGCCATCAGACAATGATTACACATGTCTTATGATATGTTTGCGCTGAATAACCCACGAACGCCTTAAAACACTGTGTTAGATAGGCTGTGGAGAAGAATAGAATCATAGGGCGTCAACATCTTCCAATGCTAATCCTCCGTGTGCATGCATGCCCTGAATAACTTTAAAAGCCACCGATGAAGGGATGGATATGCTGCCAATACACCTCCTTCTGAAACTCAGTCATAGCGTACTTCATTTAAAACAAATAGAAATATAATCGACGTTTGATCTGTCTGAGACCACAAAAATGACAAGAATTCGCCCAACAAACAACAATGTTTGCACCTGGAACTTGTACCCAGACCAGTCAGAAGAGACTCTATCAGACCAAGGGACACGCGGAAAGGATTTTGCCTGGTCAGTATGAAGTAGATCGACGGCAGCACGACCAGAGCATGGATGGCCAGACCAATGAGACCGGTGACCATGTACATCGCTAGTTGTTGAGCTGCTGTTTCCAGGTCCCGTACCTCAAGAATCTTGTTCATGACGATGAACAGTATACCTATAGGATTGTACCTGAACGAATGACAAGGCAGAGCACATGGGAAGTTTACACACGCATGACAAGACACAGCACAGGTAGCGTTTACACACGCATGACAAGACAGAGGACATGTAGTGTTTACACACGCATGACAAGACACATCACATATAGTGTTTACACACGCATGACAAGGAACAGCACAGGTAGTGTTTACACACGCTTGACAAGACAAACGACATGAAGTGTTTACACACGCATGACAAGACACATCACATATAGTGTTTACACACGCATGCCAAGACACAGCACAGGTAGTGTTTACACACGCAGGACAAGACACAGCACATATAGTGTTTACGCACGCATGACAAGACACAGCACAGGTAGTATTTACACACGTATGACAAGGAACAGCACAGGTAGTGTTTACACACACATGACAAGACAGTGCTAATTGTAGTGTTTACACACATACGACAAGACACAGCAGAGGTAGTGTTTACACACGCATGACAAGACACAGCACATATAGTGTTTACACACGCATGACAAGACAAACGACATGTAATGTTTACACACGCATGACAATACACAGCACATATAGTGATTTACACACGCATGACAAGACACAGCACAGGTAGTGTTTACACAAAGCATGACAAGACAGTACACATGTAGTGTTTCCATAACAGAATGACAAGACAGACGACATAGTGTTTACACACGCACGACAAGACAGCACAGGTAGTGTTTACACACGCATGACAAGGCAGACGACATGTAGTGTTTACACATGCATGACAAGACACAGCACAGTTAGTGTTTACACACGCATGACAAGACAGAGGACATATAGTGTTTACACACGCATGACAAGACACAGCACAGGTAGTGTTTACACACGCATGCCAAGACACAGCACAGGTAGTGTTTACACACGCAGGACAAGACACAGCACATATAGTGTTTACGCACGCATGACAAGACACAGCACAGGTAGTATTTACACACGTATGACAAGGAACAGCACAGGTAGTGTTTACACACACATGACAAGACAGTGCTAATTGTAGTGTTTACACACATACGACAAGACACAGCAGAGGTAGTGTTTACACACGCATGACAAGACACAGCACATATAGTGTTTACACACGCATGACAAGACAAACGACATGTAATGTTTACACACGCATGACAAGACACAGCACATGTAGTGTTTACACACGCATGACAAGACACAGCACAGGTAGTGTTTACACACGCAGGACAAGACAGTACACATGTAGTGTTTACACACGAATGACAAGACAGACGACATGTAGTGTTTACACACGCATGACAAGACAGCACAGGTAGTGTTTACACACGCATGACAAGGCAGACGACATGTAGTGTTTACACATGCATGACAAGACACAGCACAGTTAGTGTTTACACACGCATGACAAGACAGAGGACATATAGTGTTTACACACGCATGACAAGACACAGCACAGGTAGCGTTTACACACGCATGACAAGACAGAGGACATGTAGTGTTTACACACGCATGACAAGACACATCACATATAGTGTTTACACACGCATGCCAAGACACAGCACAGGTATTGTTTACACACGTATGACAAAGAACAGCACAGGAAGTGTTTGCACACGCATGACAAGACTGTGCTAATTGTAGTGTTTACTCACATACACAAGACACAGCACAGGTAGACTGTGCTACAGCACAGGTAGTGTTTACACACGCATACGACAAGACATGACAAGCACAGGTGTAGTGTTTACTCACATATGACAAGACACAGCACAGGTAGTGTTTACACACGCATGACAAGACACAGCACAGGTAATGTTTACACACGCATGACAAGACACAGCACATATAGTGTTTACACACGCATGACAAGACAGAGGACATGTAGTGTTAACACACGCATGACAAGACAGAGCACAAGTAGTGTTTACACACGCATGGCAAGACAGCACAGGTAATGTTTACACACGCATGACAAGACACAGCACAGGTAGTGTTTACACACGCATGACAAGACAGAGGACATGTAGTGTTTACACACGCATGACAAGACAGCACATGTAGTGTTTACACACGCATGACAAGACATATCACATGTAGTGTTTACACACGCATGACAAGACAGAGGACATGTAGTGTTTACACACGCATGACAAGACAGAGGACATGTAGTGTTTACACACGCATGACAATACACAGCACAGGTAGTGTTTACACACGCATGACATGACACAGCACAGGTAGTGTCTACACACGCATGACAAGACACAGCACAGGTAATGTTTACACACGCATGACAAGACAGAGGACATGTAGTGTTTACACACGCATGACAAGACAGAGGACATGTAGTGTTTACACACGCATGACAATACACAGCACAGGTAGTGTTTACACACGCAGGACAAGGCACAGCACAGGTAGTGTCTACACACGCATGACAAGACACAGCACATGTAGTGTTTACACACGCATGACAAGACAGTACACATGTAGTGTTTACACACACATAACACGACACAGCACATGTAGTGTTTACACACGCATGACAAGACAGCACAGGTAGTGTTTACACACGCATGACAAGGCAGAGCACAGGTAGTGTTTACACACGCATGACAAGACAGAGGACATGTAGTGTTTACACACGCATGACACAAGACAGAGGACATGTAGTGTTTACACACGCATGACAAGACAGAGGGCATGTAGTGTTTACACACTCATGATAAGACAGAGGACATGTAGTGTTTACACACGCATGACAAGACTGAGGATATGTAGTGTTTACACACTCATAACAAAGCACAGGAAATGGCATGTTTACACACGCATGCCAATGCAGAGCACATGTAGCATATTAAGGCAACAATTTCCTATATGGATGACTCAGCTATGTTTATATTGCTTTCATAAAAATGCTTCATTTACTTTCGATGGTCAGAGTTTTCTCTGGTCTGATTGTTTCACTTTGACCTTGCTCACAAGGTTCAGTGTGGGTTCCTTTTGTATTCCTTATAATATACGTAGATGCCCTATGATTTCACATTGCTTTAAGGCAATTCATTGTAAATGCTTGCTTTAAAGGTAGATAGGTCTTTATTAATGAGGACGGTAGGCCCACGGTCCATGATCTAAATATTCTATTAAAAACAATTATAGTTGTTTTTGAAATGTTGGTAAAGTGTCATAATCACCACATAACCAGTTTTGTCATGTTCATGGTTATTTGATTCAGAATGTTGAAGAGGTCCACCATCAGACGGCCAGATTCGCCCATGTTGTTCAGCATCACACCAAACACCGCGAAGAACAGCAGGATTCCTACAGATACACATAATACACATCCTAGAATTCCCAGAGGAATGTCTCGACGTTACAGTGGTATGATTATGAAAAGAACCATGTTATGTGAAGTTGTTATTTTAAGATAATGACGAGATTATTCATATCTACAGGGAGTGATGTGTGAAGCCCATTTCTGGTGTCCTCTGCCGTGATGTATGTGGCGTAAAACTAAACTCACTCACACTCACGCATATGACATTTTATTTACTTTTAGCCAATATTCGCAAACTAATATAACCAAATAGTGAAGATACGGTGTATGCATACACTACTTCAGTTAAACATCGTTCTTTCCATATTGTCAGAAAGTCAATATCTGAAGGAGTTCCTATAGTTGACCTTCATTAGCAAGACATATGTCTTTCGTTTTGAGGATGTTAGATACGGTCTCTTGCTTACCTATGACATTCATTCCATCAAAGTAGGTCACGGATCTCTGCCAAATGTGCCCACCATGCTCGAAGTAAGTGGGACTGTGATTAGTAAGTGATGCCGATGTTTCTGTTGTGTTCAGAGGCTCAGCCATGTATTTGGTGAATGTTGTCTTCGAGTGCTGGAATGAGGCTTGCATGACGTTTTCGGGAATGATGTTTCTAATAAAAAACAAACCTATTTATTTGTGACATCATACATATGCTTACACCTGGCAATCCTGCTGGGGAACCATGTAGGTAGCAGATGTGCTGTACCCCCCAAAGGTCCCAAGTATGATGGAGAATCTGTGGCAAATGGTGGGTGGACCCCTATTGTTTTAAATATGTATATATATGTTTGGTGATATATCTTTACATTAAATCCTAGCTGTGATTACAGGTCTGTAGCCCCCCAAACCCCGATTGATGCGATGTGTCAATACAGCGGTAATCATGTTTTGTTCGTCAAGCTCAATGTACAATAAAAAAACACCGAATAGAAAGCAAAATGAACATCACTGGTGCCAATTCCATTTCCGTTTTACATCTGTACCTATGATCTGACTGCAAACGATTACTTCTCAGTCATACTGAATGTTTATAACCTTCCTCTTTGAAGGAGCGCAATAGATTATACCATTCCCGTTACTCTTGCGACAAGCATGGGTTGCTTGTCCAATTAGAATAAATTCTAAACGGGCTTCCGGTTGTGACAAATTGTCACCTGGGCACTGCGGCCCTCTTATTACAGTAACTTCACGCGCTTTCTGGATTAAATAGTATTTAACATATTATCGGGTGGTTTAAAGTTACCAGATCAGCTGTGTCGTTAAAGAGGCAATTGTTTGAAGGGAAAGATATCCCTGCTATTTCAGAACAACTGCCCTTAAGGTTATGACTTCTTTGTTTTTAAATTACAAATAAAAAACAAGTATTTGCCACTAACATGGCAATGTCCACCGCCGCTAAAGAAAACTGCAACATAACATATTTACTTCTTTTTATCTTTTGGTAACATAGAAGATTATTTTTTGTGTGATAAAGTTTTTATTCATGGTCACTTCTCAGAAAATGTCCTAACTCTGAAGATATTTCAGGAATATGTTAGATTTGAATGTATAGATGCAGATGCACACATCCACTGTCACTGTGTATTAGGGCTGGAACCAGTCTAAACTTTCTACCCTGGTATCCCACCCCCTATTACCCTACCCTACCCTGATACCCGTTATGTTAATTCCTGACATGAAATTTACAAGAAATGGCAATATATTCTACAGTCTGGAGGCTAAAATTTCGAGTTTTTTCAATGTCTTATCCATGTATTACATTCAAAACAGGTGACTTTAAATTATGGCTAAATCTTCAAAGACAATGCAACCTTTTAATGACTGGTGTCTGCGTAATCACCAAATGTTGGCTTTCACCAAATGTGAAGATATTGGGTACAACAGTGCATGAGATATCGCGTTAACAAGAATCGGTACGTATTGACGCAGCTGAATGCATAGTGCCCCGTTCCATCCAATAATGTTTGTTTTCAGAATGCTATATCATCACAGACACATTCCGGAAACATTTGTCGATCAATATTTCCGCATATTTTGCCTCGTACTCTCATACTAAACGAACTCATAAAGAAACTTCGTGGACCACTCTGGTCCCGGGTCACCCTTTTATAATTTTCACCTTCTTTCTCAACTATTGGTTACGTTAAACAATCACCAGACAACAAACAACAAATCAGGAATGTGTCAAAAATCACCTACTTCACAAATGAATATTGTACAGACAATTGAAGACAAAATTAGACATGCTCCTCACCCACAGATCCTATGTCCCTACAGACCATTCACAAAAGCATCTATATTACCAACGTGGTCAAGGTGTGGGGAGTTGCATACTAATCCCGTACGTCACACGAGTGTCGATTGATAGTACACATGGTGTGTGTAATTTTGTTGAGTATTTTGAAAAGTTGTTGAATCCTGATATTGTTCCAAAGTTAACTGATGAGGTGGTCGAGGTAACTAGGAAATCTGACAACGTTATGGTTCAGCACTGGGTTGACGAGTTAGACCGTGACATTACTGCGGTTGAAGTACATGTGGCAATTAGTAAGTTGAAGTGTAATAAATCAGCAGGTTACGATGGCATTATTAATGAATTCCTTAAGGCCGGAGAAGGTACCTTATCTCCAGTAATTACTTTGTTATTTAATGCTATTTTGTAATCTGGTAAATACCCCTCTGAATGGAGAAAGGGCGTTATTGTCCCCATTCATAAAAAAGGAAGTAAATTAGTTGCAGATAATTATCGAGGGATTACACTTCTCTCTTGTGTCAGCAAGTTGTTTACGAGTGTTCTAAATAACAGAGTCAAACAGTGGTGTGATAACTACTCCCTCTTGGTAGAAGAACAGTTTGGTTTTGGAAAGGGTTATAGTACGGCTGATTGTATACTGAGTCAAAAATGAAACTTCACAAAATGTAATTTGAAAATTAATGAATAATTTTTCTCTAATGATACATCTATGTATCCGAAATGGGATCCCTATCTTTCGACTCTAGAAAAACGTTAGCAAAACCCACTGAAACCCATCCATTCGTCGTGCAAATGACGTTAGTGCCAAATCAGGTTTTGCACGTGCAGTCGATCACGTGGTCTTCGCATCGAAGTTTTCTTCATATGCACGTGTTTGCATTGGCCTCAAGAATTAAAAAAAATCTTTTTAACCACAGTTCTAACAGTACTTGAAATGCCACGATTGTCAAATGTGCAAAGTGAACGTGCCGTTGGCATGTTGCAAGCGGGAAGATCAGTTATTGACGTCCCAAAAGCAATGGGATGCAGCCGTCGTACTGTGTATGACTTGCGAGGTCGTCTACAACAAACTGGCACCACTTCTGATCGCCCAAGGTCGGGTCGTCCACGTGTGACGTCACGAGCAGATGAAGACCGTCAACTACGTGACAGATTTCTGCCGGCTACACGAACCAGGGCTGAGATGTTCAGAGGTCGACTGTCCTCACAGACCATTCGAAATCGGTTGCGGGCTGCCAATCTCCATTCTCGACGTCCATATCAGGGGCCAATATTGACGCCGTTTCATCAACGTCAACGTCTGCTGTGGGCCCAACGTCACCTCCGATGGACCCAGAGAGACTGGAATCGAGTTGTCTTTAGCGATGAATCCAGGTTTACCCTCAGATTCGCGGACGGCAGGCAGAGAGTCTGGAGACGACGTCGTGAACGGTATGCCCAATGTTGTGTACAGGAAGTCGACAGATTCGGGGTCGGAAGTTGCATGGTGTGGGGTGCTTTCTGTGGGAACAACCGTTCCCGACTTCTGGTCATCCGTGGGAACCTCACAGCTGCTGCTTACCGCGACCAGGTGCTCACCCCTGAACTCGTTCCTTTCATGGCGGCTCATGGCCCAGGTCTACAGTTCCAGCATGATAATGCTCGGCCGCATACCGCGATGTTGACACGAAATTTCCTTCAAAACGCTGGAATCAACGTCATGGACTGGCCATCGAGGTCCCCTGACCTTAATCCAATAGAGCACGTTTGGGATGCACTTGGGAGAAGGCTTCGTGGTCTTAGGAACCAACCTCAGAATTTGCAGGAACTTGGCGCTGCCTTGCAAGAGCAATGGCACAGAATCCCCAACCACGTGTTCACAAGCATCAGGCAGTCGATGAGGAGACGGTGTTTGGCAGTGGTGAATGCGCGGGGCGGCCATACACGATATTGAACTGAGAAATTTGCATTTTTATTCTTGTGACTTGACATTCTGTATACCCATGTTATGGAACGGCGGTGTAGCCTAATGGAACTGATTATGGCACTGTCAGTGTATCAAGTACATCACACAGATCTCAGCAATGAAATAATAACAATTTAACCATCTTACCATATCTTGTTCTTTATAGCGCCCTGAAGAAAGAATGTGAAGTTTCTTTTTTTACTCAGTATATGTTTATTCTTCACGGACTGATAAATTAGCCTTGAGTAAAGGGGTGAAATTATATTGTGCTTTTGTGGATTTTCGAAAAGCATTTGACTATGTTGATAGACAAGCCCTTTGGTTTAAACTCTATTCTTTGGGGATTAGTTCCAAATTTCTATCATTAATTAAAAATATATACATAGATGTGTCCTCCTGTGTTAAACTTCCCGGATTTAGGTATTCAGAGTTCTTTTCATCAAATATAGGTGTAAGGCAAGGGGAAAATTTATCGCCTATATTATTTTCATTGTTTATAAATGATATTGTGTCCGATCTCTCTGCTTGCAATGATATTGGTATGACAGTGTTTTACATCAAGCTATTTATGTTATTATTTGCTGATGATATGGTCTTGTTCAGTGAATCCGTCGAGGGCTTGCAGCGTGGTCTTGGTTTCTTACAGAGATATTGCGACGTCGTGAACGGTATGCCCAATGTTGTGTACAGGAAGTCGACAGATTCGGGGGCGAAGTTGCATGGTGTGGGGTGCTTTCTGTGGGAACAACCGTTCCCGACTTCTGGTCATCCGTGGAAACCTCACAGCTGCTGCTTACCGCGACCAGGTGCTCACCCCTGAACTCGTTCCTTTCATGGCGGGCCCAGGTCTACAGTTCCAGCATGATAATGCTCGGCCGCATACCGCGATGTTGACACGAAATTTCCTTCAAAACGCTGGAATCAACGTCATGGACTGGCCATCGAGGTCCCCTGACCTTAATCCAATAGAGCACGTTTGGGATGCACTTGGGAGAAGGCTTCGTGGTCTTAGGAACCAACCTCAGAATTTGCAGGAACTTGGCGCTGCCTTGCAAGAGCAATGGCGCAGAATCCCCAACCACGTGTTCACAAGCATCAGGCAGTCGATGAGGAGACGGTGTTTGGCAGTGGTGAATGAAGCGGGGCGGCCATACACGATATTGAACTGAGAAATTTCGCATTTTTATTCTTGTGACTTGACATTCTGTATACCCATGTTATGGAACGGCGGTGTAGCCTAATGGAACTGATTATGGCACTGTCAGTGTATCAAGTACATCACACAGATCTCAGCAATGAAATAATAACAATTTAACCATCTTACCATATCTTGTTCTTTATAGCGCCCTGAAGAAAGAATGTGAAGTTTCTTTTTTTACTCAGTATATG